ATAAAGCTTTTTTTTTTAAAGACATCACTTGAGTTTGACTTTGATGCTTTTTTTTTTTTTTTTTTTTTTTTGACAGGCAGAGTGGACAGTAAGAGAGAGAGAGAGAAAGAAAGGTCTTCCTTTGCCGTTGGTTAACCCTCCAATGGCCACCGCAGCTGGCGCACTGCAGCCGGCGCATTGCCCTAATCTGAAGGCAGGAGCCAGGTGCTTCTCCTGGTCTCCCATGGGGTGCAGGGCCCAAGCACTTGGGCCAACCTCCACTGCACTCCCTGGCCACAGCAGAGAGCTGGCCTGGAAGAGGGGCAACCGGGACAGAATCCGGTGCCCCAACCGGGACTAGAACCTGGTGTGCCGGCGCCACAAGGCGGAGGATTAGCCTAGTGAGCCGCAGCACCGGCCTACAAATAAAGCTTTAAAAAATGTTTTTTTAAAAGCTACTACAGTTTAAGTTTCAAAAATAATTATAAGCAGGAAAAAATTACAAGAAAATTTGGAGGAAAATATTTTTTAAAACATTGACTAATATTGAAAGAAACTGAAGCAGGATACACAGCAGACTCATAGAATGGCAAAAGCTCTAAACAGCACTCTGGCCTCAGAATCAGCCCGTAAGGCATTTGGATCTGGCTAAAAAGTCCATGAGTTTCACAGGCATGGAAAGCCAAGACATTGTGGCAAAAAAAAAAAAAAAAATGACCTAAAGGAAAGATCTCTGTGAGTGAGATCCCAGGGGAAAGAATGGGCCATCAAAGAAGGCAGTACCTTCCTCTGAAGGGAGGAGAGAACTTCCACTTTGACTATGGCCTTGTCTAAATAAGATTGGAGTTGGTGAACTCAAGAGGCTTCCATAGCCTTGGCAGCTCAAGACAAGAGCATCAGGTGATTATTGATGTCATAAATAAGAGTGTCAATTGTTAAATCAACAACATGTAGGACCTCTGCCCTTAATGTGTTGTACTATGCGAATTAACGGTAAAACTACTACTCAAACAGTACTCTAGATTTTGTGTGTCTTTGTGGATGCAGTCTGTTGAAATCTTTACTTAGTATATACTAAGTTGATCTTCTGTATATAAAGATAATTGAAAATGAATCATGATGAAGAATGAGATGGGAGAGGGAGTGGGAGATGGGATGGTTGCAGGCGGGAGGGAGGTTATGGGGGGAAAAGCTGCTGTAATTCAAAAGTTGTACTTTGGAAATGTATATTTATTAAATAAAAGTTGAAAAAAAAAAAGAAAGAAAACTGATAATGTCAGCTTTCCAGTCCTACCTGTAAAAACAACAAGCCACTTATACTATTGGCAGAATATAATCTGCTTCTGGAATAAATTAGCTTCAGCAGGTAAGTTGAAAGCACAACATTCAACTTTTTTTAAACTGGGGAGGAAATCAATTTGTAATTTAAAAATCACAATATCCTTTTTAACCATGATAAGACACCCCACAAAGTCTACCTTATCAAGTACAAGTTGATTCTAAAGCGTTATCTCAGCACAGACTATATCACATGCCTACTGATAAATACATAAGAAAGATAACGGTCAAATTTCAGCAGCAGACTCTACTACCATATCAAAGCATTGATGAGTTTTTTCAGTAAAATTTCCACATGAAACCCGAATTAGTTCATTGATCACACTAGCACACTTTCCAAGGCCATAAAACATTTCCTATAATAAGAAACAGCTCTTTTAACAGAAAACTTATTTCTTTAAAAGTGCTCTTAGTAGACAGACATTTAAAACTTCAGGTATTTAAAAAACATTATTCAAAAGCAATAATAAAAAAAGGAAGTTTTCATTTTTCAGCTATAAAAAATGCTGATTTCAGCAACAGAATGAGCTGTATACATTTCCAATAAAGTAAAATCCTTTTTACTTTAAATGACTAATGATTAAAGTAATTTACTAAGTGATGATTCTAGTTATCTCCATAATAACTATTGATATTGGGGCCGGTGCTGTGGTGTAGCCACCTGCAGTGCTGGCAACCCATATAGGCACCAGGTCGAGACCCAGCTGCTCCACTTCCGATCCAGCTCTCTGCTATGGCCTGGGAAAGCAGTAGAAGATGGTCCAAGTCCTTGGGCCCCTGCACCTGCATGGGAAGACCTGGAGGAAGTTCCTGGCTTCCAGCTTCAGATTGGCGCAGCTCCGGCTGTTGGGGCCAATTGGGGAGGGAACCGGCAGATGGAAGACTTCTTTCTTTCTCTCTCTTTCTGCCTCTCCTTCTCCCTCTGTGTAACTCTAAATTTCAAATAAATAAATAAATATTTAAAAAAATAACTATTGATATAATGGGGGCCAGCATTGTGGAGTTGGTAGCAAGATAAAGCTGCCACCTGCAGTGCCAGCATCCCAGATGTACACGGGTTCGAGTCCTGGCTGCTCCACTTCTGATCCAGATCTCTGCTATGGACTGGGAAAATAGTAGAAGATGGCCCAAGTGCTTGGGCCCCTGTACCCAAGTGGGAGACTGGGAAGAAGCTCCAGGCTCCTAGCTTCAGATAGACCCAGCTCAGGCTGTTGTGGAGTAAACTAGCAGGTGGAAGACCTCTCTCTCTCTCTCTACCTCTGCCTCTCTGTAACTCTGCCTTTCAAATAAATAAATAAATCTTTTTTTTTAAAAAAAAAAGCTCATGGAAAAGTGGAATTAAAAGATAAATTAAAAAAATGAGTGAACATCACCAACACTCTCCCAAAATTAAAGCAGAGGCTTCTCTAATGTCATCTGATTCAAAGGGCAATGATTTAGTCGATAACACTGAAAAACAAATGGTTAAACTTTGAGCTGCTTTAGCTTATAAACAGCAGATAATCATGACTACATTGTCTCCTACAACCTTGCCCATTTCTCCTGAAAAAAAAAAGGCAATTTAAATTACTAACTTATCTCTCACATAACTTATCTAATTAAATTGAACTGATATTAATGATCTCTATTGATTGAAGTTTTTCAGTCCTTTCCAGAATATTGAAAATCATGCTAAATTTAAAAATTTTACCTTCAATAGAAAAGGTAGCGTGGGGCCAGCACTGTGGTGTAGTGGGTAAAGCCACCGCTTGCAGTGCTGGCATCCCACATGGGTGCCAGTTCGAGTTCTGGTTACTCCATTTCCGATCCGGCTCTCTGCTATGACCTGGGAAAGCACTAGAAGATGGCCCAAGTCCTTGGGCCCCTGCACCTGTGTGGGAGACCCAGAAGAAGCTCCTGGCTCCTGATTTCCAATCAGCGTAGCTCCAGCCGTTGTAGCCAATTGGGGAGTGAACCAGTGGATGGAAGAACTCACTCTCCGCCTCTCCTTCTCTCTCTGTTTAACTCTGACTTTCAAATAAATAAATAAATATTTTAAAAAAAGAAAAGGCAGCATACCTATGATGATAATGTCAGGTGTTCAAAAAAAATAAAGTATGAAATGAAATTTATTCACTCCTTGCAGGACATGCTTTTCAAGAACTGCTATAAATTATATTGATAGAACCCTTCAATCTTGGAATATGTTGACAATGCTGAATTTTCAAAAAATTACTTAGAAAAGGTAAAATGTGTATGCAAATAGTCTTGCCTATGGGGTAAGATTCCAAAAATTATTATTCTAGTATATGACTGCCTAGAGTATTTTCCAAGGAGCACAGTTTCTGAACCGAATTATTTTAAAAACACATCCTAAGTGCACACACAGATTACCAATATGCTACCATTGATTGTGATATCCTGTATCACTGTGATTACATATTTAATAACTGAATTGATATGGATGCTACACAGCCCTTTAAACGCATTGTAGATCAATAACGTCTGGAATCATCCAATACTTTCAATTGATCCACAATTCCCAGAACTGAGAAAAAATGTGGTTAAAAAGCATAACTAATAAAAAAAAAAAAATCCCTGAAGTAGTACAGATAAGTCTTGCTTAAATGAGGTAGCTAATTCTCTTCATTCATGCCCACAGGCCAAAGACTCACTTTGAATGCCTCTAGTGAATCCTGCCATGTTCCATGTCAATGCGCACCAGACTTAACATACGGGATGTTTACCTACCCACCAACTTCTGGAGGAGAAAAGGCAAACTTTTTAAACACTTTCAAACGCATGAGAATGGAATTTAAAATAGCAGCAATGTGTTTTGTCTGCATAACCTTTAAGCGGCAAACATTTTAAGACTGAATCCATTTTAGTGCTGTGCTCCTTTCACCCTTTTGGTTTCCTGAACTTTCAGCCTTTTCACCTAGCTTCAAACTCTGACCTACCACATTCTGCACTTGCTTTAAAAATATCCTACTTTAACATGTTGGCTTAAAAATAGCTTTGCTTTCATCATTCCAAATCACTTTTCCGCAGAAGCCTGGTTTCTACTGTCGAGCCACAGATTGCCACAACATTCTTATCGATCTCATTCTTCCAACTTCTGGGAGAACACAACCTGCAGCCTAACTTGAGAGTTACGTGTCTGCAGTTGCTGGTGTGATCCACTCTTTCCATTTTCCAGGAAAATGTTTCCTTCGGCTCGTGTGTCCACGGACACAGGCAGCGGAGAGCATCCCCGCGTGATGAAGCTACACCCTCCTTTCCGACACCCGTACGTCTTCGTGCGACAACCGTTCGGCAAAGTTTCTCCCTGCCTGCGGCGTCCGCAGTACTTTCCCCGAGCCCGCACGGCCTGCCACCTGCCAGGGTGCACGTCCCCACCGCGGCAGCCCGGGCACAGGGACTCCAGGGCTGGGAGGGCAGGCGCAAGGCGAACCTAAAAAAACCCCGACCGTGTCGGCTGCCACGCGAGGCCGGAGCTCAGGATTCTCGGGCAGGTGGGGAGCGCGGCCCCTGCAGCCTGGCACGACCCTCGCCGGTCTTACCTGCGCGGGGACACCCAGGAGGCGGCAAGTCCCCCCCTCCTCCCCAGACACCCACCCGGCGGCCGTGCCAGGCGCGCGGGGCGGCGGCGGGGGTCTGCGCGGGGCGGGGGGAGGGGAGCGCGCCCGGCCCGCCCCCCTTACCTTGGGCGATGGCAATGGACTCGAAGCGGTGCAGCTCCTTGAGCAGGCAGCTCCTCTCGGTGGAGTGCAGGCTGTAGATGAAGTCGCGCGCGCCCTGCGCCGTGTTCAGCGCCTCCATGGGCTCCTTCTTGGGGTGCGTGCCCAGCTGCCGGGGGCCGCCGGGCGAGGCGCCGGGGGCCGCGAGCGCCAGCAGCCCCCGCCCGCAGCAGCACCAGGACGGCGGGCGGGGCGCGGCGGCGGCGGCGGCGGCGGCCGGGCCCGGCCTCAGGCTGCGCGCGGTCCGGCCCCTCAGCAGCGGCAGCAGCCTGGACATGGCGGGCTGAGGAGCGGGGACCCCCGCGACAGTCCGGGGAGATTTCTGGCGCGGCGGAGCCGAGAGGAAGCAGCTGGGCTCAGCCCGACCCCGCCCCGAGGTCCTCCTGACAGGCAGCCGAGGCGCCGGGCAACATGCACTCCGCGGGCCTGCGCCGCTGCCGCCGCCTCTTCCGTCCCCCTCTTCCCAAAAGCCCGCGACGGTTCTGGCGCCTCCGACGAGAAAAACTTTCTCTGAGGCGGTCGGGCCCGGAGAGCTCCCGGGAAGGGCGGGAGGGTGGTGCGGGCGGGCGCTTCCCGGCTGAGGAGGAGCGGCGCGGGCGGGCGGGTTCGGCGAGTGTGTGTGTCTGTCAGTCTGATCTTCCAGAGAGATGAGTCAGCCACGCGCCGCCCTCCTCCGGCGCCGCCCTCCTCTGCCGCCGGCTTTCCCACCCTCTGCCTCCCTCGTTCCCACTCGCACGGGCTCCTGTGCCCTCAGAGCAGCCACGCTCTCAGGCCGCAGCCGCAGCCGCCGCCGCCGCCGCCGCCGCTACCCCTAGCGGCAGTACAAGGGGTAACAGGGCGGGGCGAAAGCCAGGGGGCGGGGAGCGGGCGGAGCCGCGCAGGCGCAGTGCTCGGGCTCGGGCCGCGCTCCCGGCCGAGGAAGGAGCGTGCACCGGCGGCGGCGCCCCTTCCGGCACGTGAAGTTGTTAGACGTGCGGCCCTTGAGCAGGCGTGCACACACTTGAAAACCGCCGGTGGGCGTCGGGGAAAAAGGGATGTGGACCCCTTGTCGGGCACGGTGGTGCAGTTGCCGCGGGCGCAGCCAGCGCCATGTCTAAATCTGGAGCTTGCTCTGAAAGGTCCCCCCGCTTCGGCTTCCTGGCCCGGTGCCAAGCGAGAGCAGCGCCTCGGTCAGGCCCTCTGGGAAAGGAAGCGCCCCGCCGCGCCCTTTGCCAAGTCAGCGCCCAGCGCCGCCGCGCCCGGTCTGGCACCGAGGCACTGGCTGTGGGTGCTACCCTTTCCCAAGACCCAGGACAGCCCTGTTCTTGCCCGCAGACCCCTGATGCTGGAGCCGCAGCAGGACTAGCCCAGGCCTCTCCTGGCTGAGTGCTTCTCATTATTTTTTATTGTCCTGTCTGCTAAAATGGAAAGCTGCGATTCTCCACGATTTCCACGGTCCCAAGACTGAAGTGTTCCCTTACCGTTTCCCAAGGGAGGCGATTTCTGCTTTATCCGAACCTGTCTAATGACAGACTTAGGCACTCTGTCTTAGGGAGTAAATCTACTTAGCAAATCTGATCAAGGAGAATCAAGATCTAAACCACATCCTTATCTTGTCCGCTGCTGCACCCAGCCCAGAGGCTTGTGTGGAGCAGATGCTCTATAAATATGTAAGTGCAATGTTTAACCCGGGTACTGAGACCTGCTACTGTTCGAACTTGGCTGCGGAAACTGTATCCCTGAGCTTATTAGATGTGCAGAATCAGGGGCCCCCAGAAATCAGAAACTGGGCCCTTGAATTAATATTGGTACATACAAACGCTTAAAAACCACTGCTCTGACTTAAAGAAACATGGAAAAAAATTTTGTTTTCTTTAGATTTCAGGGCGATGCCTCTGTGTTGTAAAGACAATGAAGAATGCTCTGTGGAAAATGTAGACTCTTTGCAAGAATAGTCTATTTCTTCTTGTCTTTGAAACACCTTGATGCCAGTGTATACTGGAATCCTCTACAAGTTACTTCATGCTCAGGTTCTGGGGAATACCAGCACACAGGAGCACATCACAACTGATCTGATAAGGACTTGCTCACCGAGGCTTGCGACATGTAATGCCTTGGTTGTACTATTTAAGAATGTTCAATTCTGTTATAAAACAGTAAGAGAAATGAAAAGTAGAAGCAAGTCACAATGAAATGTGTTATACATAAAATAAATGGATACATATATTAAACACAGATGCAAAAGGATGAAACAATAAGAGTGCTGCTTTAGATAGAAAGGTGTACAGAGACAAAGTGAGCTTCAGATATTAATGAAGCAGGTCCAGCTTCCTTCAATCCATAGGAACCCACCCCTCACTGACTTCTGCTTTGGTCCTAATAACCACACTCCACAGAGAAGACTGGACAAGGTGTAAGGACAAGGGGGTGCAGAACAGAGAGGAGACAAGATACAAGCTCGCAGCCAGATGAATTCATTCAAGAAAAATGAACTCCCAGAGGTGGGTGGCCAACTGCTGGTGTGCACACAGACTGAACACACAGCAGAGGGCACAATCCTCCAGAGGACTGGGCCTTCTGTATCTTAGGGTGGGCTAAGGATCCAGAGCTGGGGTTCAAGGTAATTTCTCCATACAGGTTTTTCAAGTTTCCCTTAGGGTTTCAAACCTGGAAAAGAATCCAGGAGGTGGAGTGGGGAACAATACAGGGTATGGGACTGAGCTAGTCTCTTAGAAGAATGCAGGGGTAAGGGGTAAAATCTGATTTTATCTACTTTTAGGCAAGGAGCTAGAATGGCCAAGGCTTATGTCCTTGTCCCATCACAAGACACAGCAGCATTGAGTACAACAGAGTTTAGGTACTGTGGACCTTCCAGCCTATCCCAAGCTTGCTTATCTAACCCCTCTTTCCCCCTTGCTTCTCTGTTTTCTGTTTGTTGGTTGATTGATAAATTATTCTGGTTACTATAACTGCTGTTTGAACAAAAGGTCATGGCTTCAGTACCCAGTTTTATTTTGTGGCTCAGAAATCCAGGAAAGGCTGGCTTGGGCAGTTCTTTCTTGAAGTCTTATGGAGTGGCCGTCGGGTATCATCTGTGAGTGCTGTCATTGAAGGTTCAAGGGGCTGGATGTCCAGGATGGCTCACCATGTGACTGAGTGTGGATGCTGGCTCATGGTTGGCCAAAAACTCAGACGTGAACCACAGCATATTCATGCAGCCCCTCCAGCATGGCAAATTTCTCACCTGGCAACTGGCTTTCCCCAGAGTGAGTTTCTGAAAAAAAAATCAGGCTCGTGCTCTTCTTTTTAAAATTTCTTTCCTTTTTGTATTTTTTTTAACCTTTATACTTTATTTATTTGAAAAGCAGAGTTACAGAGAGGGGGAGAAGTAGAGAAAGGGGAGAAGTAGAGAAAGAGAGAGAGAGACTGAGAGAGATCTCTTCGATCCACTGGTTCACGCCCCAGATGGCTGCAATGGCTGGGGCTGGGCCAGGCTGAAGCCAGGAGGCTGGACCCTCTTCTGAGTCTCCCATGTGGCTGCAGGGGCCCAAGCACCTGGGTCGTCTTATGCTGCTTTCTCAGGCTTATCAGCAGGAAACTGGGCAGGAAGTGGAGTACTTGGATCTTGAACCAGGGCCCATATGGGATACCGGCGCCATAGGTAAGGCTTAACCTGCTACGCCACAATGCCCAGCCCTTATTTCATATTTTAAGAGAAGGGACTCTCTCTCTCTCACGGTCCACTCTGCCTGTCAAAAATAAAAATAAAAATAAAAAAATAAACAAGAAGGGAGATAGAGAAACAGAGAGGGTGGGAGAGCAGGTAAGGTGGGAAGAATCATTGTGTTCCTAAAGTTTTATTTATGAAATGCATGAATTTTGTAACCTTAAATAAAAAGTTTCTGGGGGAAAAATAAAAACAATAATAAAAAAAGAGAGACCTGTTCACTGATTCATTCCCCCAGGATACCCACAATAGCCAGGGCTAGGCCAACCCAAAGCTGGAAGCCCAAAACTCAATGCAGGTCTCCCACATTGGTGACCCAACCACTTGAGCCATAACCCTACTTCCTCCCAGGATACACAGCAGCAAGAAGCTGGATCAGAAGTGGAGGAGACATTACCACATGGGATGTGAGCATTCCAAGCAACAACTTAACCACTGTGCCAAACACCCACCCATCGTGGCCTTTTCTAACCTAACCTTGGAGTCATTCAGTAACACTTCTGCTATATTCTACTGTCTATGAAGCAAGCCAGTAAGGCTAACACACATTGAAGGGAAGGGTATGTGGACCCCGTTCCCATTTTAATGGGAACAATGGTAAAGAATTTGAGGACATGTTTTAAAACTGCCTTTAGGGGGAGATTACTGATGCCATAAACAGGAGTGTCAATTTGTAAAGTCAACAACAGGAGTCACTGTGCACTAACTCCTCATGTAGGATCTCTGTCCTTAATGTGCTGTACATTGTGATTTAATGCTGTAACTAGTACTCAAACAGTATTTTTCACTTTGTGTTTCTATGTGGGTGCAAACTGTTGAAATCTTTACTTAATGTATACTAAACTGATCTTCTGTATATAAAGAGAGTTGAAAATGAATCTTGATATGAATGGAAGGGGAGAGAGAGCGGGAAAGGGGAGGGTTGCGGGTGGGAGGGAAGTCATTGGGCGGGGGGGAGCCATTGTAGTCCATAAGCTGTACTTTCAAAATTTATATTCATTAAATAAAAGTTAAAAAAAAAGATAATGTTATATTTGATAATCTATAAACTGGAAAAACCACTCAATTGATAAGTTTCTCTGCTCAGAATATTCCAAGTTCAATTGTGCTTATATAGCCCCATAGTGTTGTGTGTAATGAACTTTTGGGCATAGAAAAACATGATTTCTCAAATTTAAAATGTTTATGGCACATTTCTTGTCTGTGTAAACAAATGATTTTTTGCTTAAAGAGATTTTAAGAAATAAATATCTTATTAAATATAATTTACTCAAATTATTAAAAAAAAAAAAAACTGCCTATAGGCTGGCGCCTCGGCTCACTAGGCTAATCCTCCGCCTTGCGGCGCAGGCACACCGGGTTCTAGTCCCAGTCGGGGCACTGGAGTCTGTCCCGGTTGCCCCTCTTCCAGGCCAGCTCTCTGCTATGGCCAGGGAGTGCAGTGGAGGATGGCCCAAGTCCTTGGGCCCTGCACCCACATGGGAGACCCAGAAAAAGCTCCTGGCTTCAGCCTGGCCCAGCCCTAGCCATTGCAGCCATTTGGGGAGTGAACCAGCGGTGGAAGATTTTTTTTCTCTCTCTCTCCTTCTCTCTCTGAATCTTTGTCAAATAAATAAATAAATAAATCTTTTTTAAAATTCTATTAAAACTGCCATATAATAATGTACCTTCAGCATCTTATTTTTTTCTATAAACCTAACTGTACTGTGACCTGTGGGACATAGATTTGATGGGAATAAACATGTTGCTCAGTTTACCCATCTGTTAAATGGTGGAAGGGCATCTACATTATAGGGTTAGAGTGAGAACAAATCAGTTAGTACATATAAAGAATTTCAAACAGTACTCGAAACAAGTACTTATAGATATTAGCTATTATTACCTAAATCCCCAAGAACTTCTGAAACCTCTAAGATTATGTCTTTAACCCTAATTTGAAAAATGCCTACCAGATGCCTGCAACTTGCTACGTGTATGGGCACTAACTGGATCCCTCTGTACTTCCTTTCCCTGAACACCTGAATACTCTACATATGAATAAGTGGAGAGATGGGGAGGGAGGGGAGTTTGAGGTCTGTTCATGGAGCTGTGGACAAGTACAGTAAAAGGCAGGTCTAGATGTGGGTGGTGCAGGGGAGATTTTGAGGAAATATGAGGAAGCTGAAGAGGTAATGCTAGCAGCTGGAGAGAGTTACAGAAATGGAAGCAGGGGGAGGGCCCAGAAGGCAAACTTGGCCTGGCTTCAGCCCAGCTGCTCTTTACTTCTAAAGATGACAAACATCATGCCTCAATAATAACCACAGTCCTTTCCCCGTGAAAAAATTGCTGCTGAATCATCAGTCCATGGTAGGCTGCGTCCTATAAATACTCTCTGGAGTATTTATGATATGTTATGTGCCCACCTATTGCTGTCCACTATAAAATTTTTTAAATCATTGCTTTATCTAGTGGCACCTTTAATCATCTCATCTACCCACATTTTGCACTTTCCTTATTTCACTTCTCACCCATCAGATCCCTGCCTGACTTACAGGAAGCCCCTGCCCCACCAGGACTGTGTGAATCGATTGTTGCTGCACAATGAAAACCACAAAATATTATCAGAGAAATTAAAGGAGGCTTAAATAAATGTAGGGAAACATCTATTCAGAGTGGGAAAACTCAACAGTATAAGATGCCAGTTCTTCCCAAATGTATTAGTCAAGGCTGTCCAGAGAAACAAAGCTAATAGAATAAACACGGATATACAGAAAGAGAGGTATTATGAGACGTTGGCTCACAACCAGCCTCTGAGAAGTTTGGGAGGCTGAGAAGTTCCACAGTCTGCCATCTGTAATCTAGAAGGTTAGGAAACCTAATGGAATAGTTGTAGTTCAAACCCAAGGTTCTGAAGAGCAAGGGAGGCCAAAGCTGTTGGCTTCAGTCCCAGTCTGAAGGCCTGACTTCAGGAACTCAATGTCTGAGCAGAAGATAGATGTAGAGCTCAACTGGAGAGCAAGTTCACCCTTCCTTGTCTTCTGCTCTGTCTGGCCCTCAATGGATTGAGTGATGCCCACCCAGAGTGACGGGTATTTCTTTTCTCAGTCTGCCAGTTCAAAAGCTCACCTCTTCTGGAAACACTCTCACAGACCCATCTAGAAATAAAGTTTTGCCAGCTAATAGGGCATTAATCAGCCCAGTGAACTGATAAAGAAAATTGGCCACCATATCAAACTAGTCTACAATTCAGTATAATCTTAATCACAATCACAAGTGGTTGTGTGTGTGTGTGTGTGTGTGTGTATGGAAACTGTCAAACTGTGCTATGATCTGAATATGATTTTTCCCCACCAGAACCTATGTTGAGACTTAGTGTCCAATGGAACACTAAGAAGGGTTGGGGAGTGGGAAGGGTTGGGGACTTTAAGAGAGATCAATTTGTTGTGGGAATGACTTGTCACTCTCTTAGGACTGAATTTGCTACTGTGAGACTACGTGGTTTATAAAAGTGAGCCTGGCATTTCTCCTCCGCCTGTCTTGCTTACATCTCTTCCATACCTCTTTCACATACTGCCACGTGATGCCAGATGCCATCAGTCACCAGAAGCCAAGTGGATGCCAGCACCATGTTTTTTGTACTTTGTGAGCTAAATAAACCTCTTTTGTTTATAAACCACCCAACCTTGGGTATCTTGTTATAGTAGCAGAAAATGCAGTAAGACAAACTGATACCAAAATTGATACTGAAATGCAAATGGACACAGAATACTAGAAAAAGCATAGGCCCCCGGATTTCAATTCCCAGCTCTCACACTTATAACCTCATCCACTTGGGAATGGTGCTTATTGCTCTGAACCTTGGTTTCTGTTTGTTTCTTCTTAAATCCTGATGACAAAATGAGCCTGTAGATAAGACACATAGCACAATATTCAACATGTAGTAGACACTCAACAAATGATAGGTAGTATTAAAAGACATAAAGATTTTTTAAAATACTGTTCATGGTAAAATATACCTAAAACTTTCAGAGACTCATGTAACTTTACATCTGAAAGACCAAGAATCCAACTAGAATCTTTATCTCTAAGTTGCCCTTCACTCTCCAACCCCCTGCAATCTAGCTGTCCATTGCCCAGAGAAACAAGGCTGGATGTATACATTTGGAAGCCATCATCATCCAGGTGTCATTTAAAGCTATAGGACTAGTCTGGTTCCTTTTGGGGTAAAAATATGAGGGAAAGATCTTGGCCTATCTTGGCCTGACCCTGGGACTCTCCACCACTGAGGGGTTGTAAGAGGTGTGTGTGTTGGGTGGGGAGGGGACCAGAGGATGGTGGTGGTACTGTTCTCTCTGTTCATCCTGAAAGATACTTGGAATATGAACCTAATGGGATACTGGTCATTTTTATTGCTGGGATAAAGGATAATAACTTTTGTATATTTATCCTTTCTACTTACCTTTCTTCCTTGAATTGTTCATAGTAAACCTATTTTATTTTTTTTAAAGTACGTATTTATTTGAAAGGCAGAGTGGCAGAGAGAAAGGGAGAGAGGGAGGGAGAGAGAAAGAGAAAGAGAGAGAAACCAACCTTCCATCCTCTGGTTCACTCTCCAAATGGCTGCAACAATAGGAGATGGGCCAGGCCAAAACTAGGAGCCTGGAACTCCAGCCAAGTCTCACACACGCACGGCAGGGACCCAAATACTTAGGCCATCAACCGCTGCCTCCAGGCACACTGGCAGGATGCTGGATTAGAAGCAGAGTAACTGGCACTCAGATTTCTACTCCAATATGTGATGCAGGCTTAACCCACTGTACATGATGCCTGCCCCACAGTAAGTATATTTAATTTAAACAAAAACAAAGTTTTTTAAAGAATGGAACTTGAGAATGCTTTTGGTATGAAACACCTGAGAAATCCTAAATAACTCTGAACACACAATCTCCTTTTTTGGATATGTGGCATTCCTCTACACCAATCATTCAACACCACCTCTCATCATCACCTCTGTGACCCTTCACTGCTAGAGATTACATGTGTGAAACTGTCGATCAAAGTGCAAGTAGGATGAGGGGGGGGGGGGTATGAGAAAGAGGCTCTCAACGGGAGCTTAAACTCCTGTGCTAATTTCATGCTCCATGAGGCTCCTATTTATCTGCCCAAAGCAATATAAAAAATACTCTCTCTCTCTCTCTCTCTCTCTCTCTTTCAGGGCAATATCTTGTCACTTTTTTCCCCTGCTAGGCTTGCCTTTTGTGTTTCAGGTTGGAGAGGAATTTTGCCCAAGGTAAATATAAACAAGAAGGCAATGAAATGTCTCTTCTTCAAGCTGCAAACTTAAAAGTCTTTCTGAGGTTTCCAAATACTTAGATGCTGTAAGAACTATTTTTTTTAAATGACTCCATATTTGTGCCACAGAAAGGCCAATAGAAGGCTTCTGACTGCTCCTGTTTATTTTGAAAGGAAATTAAGGTATCAACTCAAGACTCTTCTGAACATATTTTCAAAGAGACTAATCTAACCATCTCCTAGCACATACCTGAATTCAACATGTTAACACCCACTCTGTACCAGTTATCAAACTACATACTGGGATTATAAAATTAAGGCCAAATTTTCTGTTTAAGGCTTAATGTTTTCAATGCTACAAATCACTACTGTTCAGCAGTATCTGATTCTCAGACCCCAACAGAAATGCACTTCCCTGCCTCCTTAAAGATAGAGGTGGTTATGTGTCTTGCTTTGGACAATGAATAGACACCTGCTATTTTTCAGCCCTGGATGCCTGTGCTCAGCTATGCAGCTCTCTCCTCTCCCACCATGGGGAGATTCACAACACGTGTTGACGTTCCATGAAATTGATGAGACTTGGAAACTTGATCTAGTATAGAAGAGCTTCCCTGAAGAATTGCCCCAAGTCACAGCAGATTTTCCAGGACAGAGAAAACAACATTTTGGTGTTGTCAGTTTGATTTTGGGGTTGCTTGTTACTAAAGCAAAACTGAACATATTAGGACAGATACAGCTCCTTCTTGGCTTTGTTACTTGTCTGAAACTGAGTATCTGTCTTCAGTTCTGCTATTTCCTTCATCTAAAGGAGGAATTTATTTTGCCTGATTAGGGAATAGAGAAATGGGATCTTTTTTTTTTCCTCCCTCTGGTTTCTAAGCTGTTATGTGAATCTGAGTCATAGATTCCGGACATAGATTCCGGAGTCAGGATCACTGGGAAAGTGGCTAAGTCCATGCAAGTGTATGATACTATCTATGGAAAACACATGAAGGAAAACATGAGAAGATATAGGAGAGAGACCAGGGAAGCAACAACAGTTTAGCAGTAAGTAAAAGGAGCAATAACTGAAGGAAGAAAATGATATGACATGGAAAAAGAAAAAAAAAAAAAACGCTATGACCATAGCAGCCAAAGATGATAAAGCTTCCATAGTTAAGTCTAGTGTTTCAAATGCAACAGCACCAATAAGTAAATTATTATAAATGATGGATTGAAAACATAAAATTATGACCACTTTGTAGTAAAAGCACACTAAAATTAATGTAAATGAGTTGAGAAAAGAATTAGTCTTCCAAGCATGGAGCTAAAGGGAGAATAGATAATTGGAACACAGTAATACAATATGAAGAGTAGATGGATGAGTATTAACTAACCTGGTGAACCAGAGAAAGGTGAAAACAAAGCTGAAATGGAACAACCTAGAAGAAGGTTAATTCAAGCAAAGGGTCAAAAAGTTCAGGCACTGGAGGCATGAGATACTTCTGAAAGTAGAATAAAAATTGAGCTACAAAATCACTAGCTGAGACTATTTAAAAAGAGCTGTTATAACTCATATAGCTCATTCCATGTCACTGGGAGACTGCACCTTCCTCACTCCAGCAGAAGTCTAGACGTTTCCTAGTAGAGTGACAACAGGCTGGGGGACACGAGGAACACCTGCAGGCAGAGGAGACAAATCAGAAACAAAGACCTAAGTGAAGGCCACAGACTGACTTGGGGACCCCTGTCACCTTCTCCTCTGCTTCAAGAACCCTGCTTGCCATGCACTGAAAAGCCTTCCTGAGCCTCCAGTAAGGACTTCAGCCAGCCTCCCCTGTAATGCAGCCACCAAGTAACCAGTGGTTGCCTATCACAGAGGTTCAAAACAGTCTTTTGTTGTCTTGCTCCTTAATATAAAATATGAGCAAGAACATAAAGGCACTAGTTAATTGAAGATACAATTTAAGATGGAAACACAGATCCAAAATAGCCACTATTTTAAAAAATGTGATATTAAATGTGCCATATTAAAAATATGGCAGCATTGTAAGCTGCTGTGCCACAACACTAGCCCCATAAAATAGTTTTATTTTTTTAAAGGAAAGGTTTATTGTCAGGTGGGGAAACCCGACAGGCTGCCTCCCTATGCGCTAGAGAACAACCACCTGTACTAGGAGAAAAGGTCTTATATAGCTTTGCAGAGGTAAAGAAGTAGGAGCAGCAAATCCTGCTAGGGTGGGCATGGAGCTGATGCTTGTGATTGGGCCATCTGGTCACCTAACTTCTAGTAAGCCAGGCTGAGCTTAGGAAGAAAGTACCAATTTACTAAACATTCCCCCCCCTTTTGTTTTTTATAAAGCAAGTATGGGATTACATCGGCCCCCAAAGTGCAGGAGGAGTGGAGGGACAATGATTTATATTCTAGAGCTCCTTCATTCTGACATGGGGCAACGAGTTACTCTCTGCTGGCATGGGGCAATCTGAAGTCGTGATGTCCTAGGTGGGGAGCCGAGTATATCCCTGTAGTAGCATCTGGTAGGTGAAAGGTTTGGTTCATTCCATTATCACTTCCTGTAAACACTCAAGAATTCTGAAAGGCTGGGGTGTGGATGGAGATCACAGAGTATTCGGTGGTGAAGAAGGAGGTTGTGGGGCGGGAAGGGTGAGTTTTGTGGTTGCAAGAAGTCCAGGATCCTGAATTAACTCATATCTCCAAGGGGAGAGAAAAGTTGATGGGAGAGCCTGGTCCCAGGTTTCGGCACCAGTGAAAAGTCACCATGAAACACACCAAACACTGGAGTAAGGGAAAAGGTTTATTGTTGGGTGAAGGGAACTTGACAGGCTGCCTCTCCGTGCATGAGAAAACAGCCAAAATAGTTTTAAAAATGCAAGAAGACTGTCAAAGAAACGTTTGGAGGAAAATTCTCAGAAATGAGGGTTATGTATTCCCAGACTGAGAGGATGTGTTGAGGGTCAGAACCCTGAATGACAAGATGATAGGCAGCCCACTGTGAAGCATATCACCGTGACATTACAGATCACTAGGGGCAAACAGAAGATCCTGGTCTGCAGCAGCACGTGAACAGTGGGTGTAGATGGATGCCAGGGGACATTCAAGCAAAAGACATCCCATTTCAGAAGACTTCCTACGGCTCAATACCACTGCTAGAAGCCAGAAGATGATGGAGTAAAATTCCAAAATATTGAGGAAAACTATTTCCAGTCTGGAATTCTATCTCCAGAAGTGTAAAGTGAAGACAGAGCGTAGCTCTTCAGATATTGATGTCTGAAAATATTTATGTCCTATAGTTCATACCGGGAAAGAACCGGAAGATGAACTCCATCAAACTGAAAGAGTAAACCAAGAGATCCAGTAACTGGAGTCTAACTTGGGAATGAAGCAAACAGGCCAACAGGACAAGTGTAGAGAGTAATGAGGCTATTTGGGAGCAGTAATGAGACTGGGAGGAGTGCCTCTAAGAAGAAACAGACATTTGCAGTAAAATGGATGGAACTGGAGAGCATTATGACAAGTGAAATGAGCCAGACACAGGCAGTACTACATGTCCTCTGTCATATGTTGGAGCTTTTCAAAAAATAGTCTGTCTGAATTTAGAATAGTGATACAG